CATTTCAAAATTTTGGAACTTTTATTATCAATTTTATTCCATCATAAATGGTTGATTAATACCAAAGAGCAGATTTCAAAGCAATAATTTATTTCAGACGAAGTACACCCCCGGTACCCCTGACCCAGGGGCCCTGAAATTAATCATTTTAGAAGAACCTTTCTGCATCATAAATATATGCTTGGATCATTGGCATAATATCCAGGAGCAAAGGAAAAGCTTTAATTTCAAAGAATTCATGCATTTCACTAATATTATCATTAGAATGGGCCCGCCCTAACACCAGAACCCCTGACCCAGGGGCCCTGAAATTCACAAATTGGGAAGAAACATCCTTCTTCATTTTAACAATGTACATATTTCATTGTTTTAATACTCAGGAGCAGAGGAGAAGATTTAAAAGAATGTAGACATTTTCACTAAATAACCAATAGAGCCCCGCCTTAACACCAGAACCCCTGACCCAGGAAACAAAATTCACAATTTTATAAGAGGCAGTCTTATTCAACATAACCATGTACTTGGTAAGTTTCAGAGGCGTAGTCACAAACTTAAAAGTGGGGGGGCTCAACTCCAGAAATTCTTTGACAAGCAAAAAAAAAAAAAACAAACTTAAAAGTGGGGGGGCTCAACTCCACAAAATAATTGAAAACCAAAAAAAAAAAAAAAAAAAAAAAAAAAGGGAAATGTATTTTCCCAAAAAACGAAAAACATATTTCGTGAAGGGGGGGGGGGGGGGGGGGGTAGAGGCCAACTTTTTCAAAGGGAAGTTGCTTTGAAATCCATTCAATGAATATTTCCTATTGTAAAGGTAATGTTGGGGAAAATAGCTGTGATTTTGTTCTTCTTTTAAAAAGTGGGGGGGCACAGACATACTCTTGCCCCCCCACATCTGAAAGTGGGGGGGCTATTGCCCCCGCTGCCCCCCCTGTGACTACGCCTATGAGTTTATTTGATACCCAGGAGCAGAAAAGATTTTTAAAGAATAATGTAATTGCACTATATTAATAGAACCCCGCCGTAACATCAGAACCCCCGACCCAGGGGCCATGAAATTTGACAATCACAATCAAGAACTTTTCTTGATCACAAAAGGTTCTGACAATACCCGTATGTAGCAATATGCCCTTATCACCTGCAAATCGGGTTTAAGGCTCCTAGCTGATTTCATATGCAAGAAAACGCGCTATGTAAGAGACATTTCTAAAAAGAGAAAAGCTATTTCCAAACAAAGTGCACGTGATGAAACAAAGATTTCAACATTCGTGTTGAAAGTTATCATTTCGCAAGTTCTATGGTCATGACCATAATGATATACAACAGTCTCGTTTAAAGTCAATATTTCACAAGTTCTATAACATAGTCTGTGTTTGCTTTCCTTCAGACTTGTATATTGTTTCAGTGGAACTTTGAGCTTAATCACTGGTCTGTCAATGTATTTTTTTCGGAGAGCTATGTACAGTTCTGCAGCTAGCAAGCCACGTGCATAAATTTCTTGAACAATGGCTGTTCCTTCAGTTGAGCATGCAATTACATATTAATCAATAAAATACAATAGTTTTTTTTTAAAACAGATGTAAATATTAACAATAAAATGTCTTTGTTTTTACGCGGGTTATGTAATTTTTTCTACAATAGCTGCTACGTTAATTCCCGTACATACAACCAAAGAAAGGCATTTTATTATTCAAGTGGCCTTCTTAGAGTCAGGCACAAATCCAGATGCGCAGGATATTCACATGCATATAAGGCCTTCTCAGCTCCTGACCTATCAATTTGCCTTATTTACTTTCCCATACACTAATCAAGAAATCAATTCCACATACTTTCAAACAGTTATCACTGAGAAAAAATAGAATTAATGGAAATATTTTGATTTATATCTTAAAATTCAAATGAATGGTCTCACCTTTTCTTTTATCATATTAAAGTACATGATACTCTTAACCGATCTGCACTAACTTAAAAAAAAACTTGATCCAAGAAAATGTCTAGATTCCTGTTAAAGCATCATTCTCAGATTTACCTATTCTGTATACAATCTATAATTAAGTCATACGATGACTGACGTTTTTCATTTAATTATTAAGCTATTATTTACACACTGAATTATCTAGGGATTTCCCATTATTCTCCGATCATGACAAGGAGCACACGGAAATTGTGACTAGTCGGCAGAGTATACTCACTCCTCCATGGCACCTGATCCCACTTCTAACGTCTTTGGAGGTCCGTGTTGGCTCTGCTTCCCATTTGTATTGTCTTAAGCTTGGATGCTGTTCGTTATTATCTTCATATTTCACTTCATAAAATTGATATCTTTCCTCAAATTGCATATCTGATTACAATGTAATTGCAAGTTTGAGATCTATATATTTCTCAATTAATGCTTACGTTCATTCACGATCCTGGATAGGAAAATTCATCCTTTTTTTAGATTATTCTTTATCTATCATAAATTGGATTTTGTTTTTCGATAATGGCATATGACACTTTTAAATATATTGAGTTTATGCCTCATAAGACCGTGGAATATTAACTGGCAAAATTGGAAATATACAGCTTGCGTCATTTCTATCTGTTACAATCAAAACATTCAGTGATAGACAATGAAATGGGCGGGTACAATTCGACGCGGACGTGGGGAAAACATCGGATTGAAATTCATTTTCAATCCACCTGAGCGGTTTTCAATTAAAGCAAAGAGTGAATGTATGATCCAAAAATCAACTAATTTCCACTCTCAAATACAAATTGTTTGAAGATCACATTAATATGAGTTTTAGCTTATAATTTTAAGAACGCGAAAGATCATAGAAGACAAAGATTATTTTTCAGGAGATATTTGATTCTAGAAAGGGGGGGGGGTAAAAAATTTTCGAGTCAGGTCATGGCTTAACATGTCAATATATTCTATTTCTAGGATGATAATAGTGCATGAGTTTTATACTTATTCTCACTGAAAACTGTTCTAATAATGAACTGTTCAATGTTCTATAAAAAAAATAATAAAAGCGGACGATTGAATCAATTTTTTTAGCATATACATGTATATTGATTTCAAAACAATGGTAATTTCAAGAGTTATCCTTCATTGGTAGACCTTGACTATACACCCATATTTCATCTCAAAGAGCAAGGTATGATTTCAATACAAATCTTGCCCTGTGATTTTCTTAAAAATGAAACTTAAATAAAACATGAAAATTCATGTTTTCTGAATCATTGAAATTCCATACAGAAAAATCCTACAAATTATTTTTCACACATGCATTTATAAATGCTAATTGTGACGTCATAAACATGTGCATTTTCCCGTATTTTCTTAAAAAGTGACAGAAGACACCCATTTTCAGTAGAATTTTCTTTCAAATAAGTATGTCCACAGGCATCGCCCACAAAGATTTTCAGACATGTGAATTTTCATTGAATTTTGTACAACATATCCAAAAATAAACTGGGCGACGGCTGTGGACACTATTTTCTGAAGGAAAATTACCCTTGAAATGAGTCATTTTCAGGCTTTTTCTGTTTAAAGTAGAGAAATGCATCAAATTAATGACGTCATATTTCCAGAATGGTACTCCTTTATTTCATAATCTTTTCTGATATATCACAGTCATAAACTTGACTAGTTTTTAAGCCAATATCAAAACTTTTTGAAAGCATTAAATTTTTAGGGCACGATAAAGCTAAAACCATACCTTCTTCTTTAGTAGATTAATTATTTAAAATATATATTTAAACATCGCGGCGTGCATATGCACCTAATTTTATTTTTCAAAACATTGTATGTTGTATTTTCATCACACCATCTGTCAAGGGGCTCTATAGATCGCACGGTTTGCAGTTATTTACACGGTAACTATAATATAATATTTCCATTTCTAAATTTTTTCTCTATAATAACCCTTTGAAAGTAAGCTGAGTTGATTTCCTGATAATTCTGCCGGAATGTAAATTAGGCAGGTCGATAGGTCAGCAGCTAAGGAGGCCTAATACGCATGCAAACCTCGTGCGCATCTGTCTCTGTGTCTGACGCTAAGGAGGCCAAATATGCATGTAAATCTCGTGCGGCTGCCTTTGTGTTTGACGTCAGTGTGCGAGGACTGTTGAAATTGGCATGGAAGTCCTCGTGTAATTTAAATCGATTAGTCTACATTCTTAATGTCTAAGTCTACAATTTTATTTCACAATGAAATGGAAATATAAGGAATCACTGTCTAGTTTTGAGAGTATGCCAGGGACATCAACAATAGTGGGAAACATGGGATAATTTTAGCATAACGGGCTTCGCCCGTTATGCAAATTATCCCATGTTTCCCACTATTGTTGATGCCCTGGTATACTCTCAAAACTAGACAGTGATTCCTTAAATCAATCATATGATTTATACTCCGATAATACAGTGACTACTATTTTAATTTCTCCATCAAAACAAGACATCCATTCTGGATAATTATAGTTATATACGTTATTTTGCAAAAAAGATTCCTTTCTTTTTGTATAAGACAAACGACGATGTTGTTTTTTAATCAATCAGACCAAAGAGATTTTAAGGAGGTTTTGTAATATATTTCCATAATCTACATATATATGGAAATTCTATTCATTAATACAACCTAGCTCTCAATCCCTCCTTTTTATACTAAGGATGATGCAGTCCGTATTTACTTTGCAGAATATTTAATAGGGAGGAGAGTAGGAGGAAAATATTTTTCTATGATTTTAAATATTATTCTAAGAAATTTTACATTGTACTATTCTATACATATACAATAAGCTTATTAGATATAGACATACAATTATTTATGCATATATATCGTACATGTAGTACAAATATAGATAATTAGAGCTATTTATTTTGTCTGCTGGGGAGAAAAGTCATGATATAAATTATATTCATAAGTTAAAAATTTACAGATGTCCCAGCTAAAAGAGCTCGCATGCGTGAGCGACTTAGTATATAACTCCCACTGTGTGCCTCTCCGTTAACGCGCATTCCCTGCCGGGCGCCCCGCTACACGTGAGGAATGTCTGATGTATAGAGATAGATTATCCGAGGCCCGGAATTACACACAAAGAACAGTCATGAGGGGTAAAGTCATTTCTTATTTCTTAGAATTTCAGTTTTAATTTAGTTGTATTATTAATTTTCGAAGTTTCGAATCAGTAACAAATCTCCATGTTGTGATAGTTAAGATATTATTAAGCACATCCATTAGAACTTTGGTATTGTTATTGTTGTATTCAAAACATCTTGTAAAATCTGTTTAAGGTGATGAACAAGATTATTGTTTAAAAACTTAAAATCTTTGTTTTTATATACGAAAGAATACCAACGATTTATCACTCAAACGTTATACATGTAACACACACTGAACGTCAAAACTGCATTATCTTTAATTTCCGATTGTCCATGTTGTCCATAACATGCCTGTGCGCCTCAGGGCTTCAATATGCGCACGTGTATGCGATTAATTTACATGTATAAACGTTTCTTGTTTGTAAATATAGATTTTTCGGAACAGTACTGAACAGTAGAAAACATATTTTTTATTAATCTATTTTTCCACAGGTCACATATGATCCTCGATGAAAAACATGAGAAAAGACCAGAATTAAACCGGATATGGTCCCGATCCGTTTCAGGAATGTGTACATCTTGTTGCCTGTGTTTGTGCTAACCCAGCTGGTGCTGTTTGGCGCTATTTTCTCGCGAAAGTGTTCCTATTTATCCTGGCTCTGGAACGGGTGCGAGGAAGAGAAGCCACTCTGTCCACTGATTTCACCTCATTTAAGTGAGTGGTTTTTAGAAAGAAAACAATGTTCTTCTCTGATATATGGTTTATGTTTAATTAAACATGAATGACAGATAAGGCATTCTGAGGTTGGGAATTGATGACATCGGATACTTATAGACGATGAAAATTATTTTAAAAAGTTTGTTATATAACAAGCTTCTCCAAAAAGCATTTACTATTATATAGCAATTACATTCAGGAAAAAACGAAATTCTCCAAAATTGTCCCTCATAAATTTTTTGTCGAATTAATTCTTTAAATTTTATTTAGAACTAACATATATTTGTGTGTCATCAGATAGAGAAAATTTAACGTCAGTTCCACGAAATAGTTCCACTTTATCTGATGCATATATAATGCACAGGTGCTTGAAAGTGGGATAGGGCCTGTTCAGAGACATAAATTATATATGGATGACACATTTGTGATATAATCTATCCTATCAATTCAGAAAATTTGCTTAAACTTACATTTTATGAAAATATTATCTACCCTCTTTATATATAAATTTTATATAGAGAATGTAGGGTAGATTTAATAGAACGTTTGTTTTAGGTAATTTTTCGATTTGCTGGTATAGATCGTATCACAAATATGGCTATGAAAAAATTTTTATGAGAAAAAAATGAAAAAGCCCAGGGGTATATAGTGGGGGGGGGGGGGTCCTCAAGCACCTGTGATATAATGTATATGCTTCAGTAATTTCTCAGTACATGTATTTATTTAAAGGAAATAATAAATAACTGAATTTAAACACAAATTTTGATAACAGAGCCAATAACAACTTATTATCTTATAAATAATAATTAACCTATAAATAACAAATTTATCTAACTACATCTGGCATTCTTTAAAAGTAAGTCTGGTTGCATGTAACTATTCTGAATGTATCAAAAATTCGATCTTCATGGGTAATTCTTTCTCCCCGTGGGGATTAACAGAGCCAGTCCCCCTTGCTTGTCGTAAAAGGCAATTTATCTAACTATAAACCGAGGCCCCGTGTCACAGCAGGTGTGGCACGAAGTCCCTCCCTGCTCAAAGGCCGTAAGTGCCGATATAATTTGCAGCCCTTCACCGGCAATGGTGACGTCTCCATATCAGTGAAATATTCTGGAGAGGGACGTTAAACAGTATAATATCAATCAATCTCGAAACACTGAACTGTACCTCGAATCAAAAGAGAAAATGAATTTTAGTAAAAATGACGTAATATTATTTTATTTATTTTCTTTTACAGAGGGTACAGTAGAGGTGGAGACTTACGTTCCTGCCTGGCAGACGATAGAAAATAACTACCCCATGTTACAAAATGGCGGACGTTACCAGCCTCCTGACTGCACGGCCCGCTACAGGGTGGCGCTGATTATTCCTTTCCGGGACCGCGATATCCACCTCAAAATACTGCTTAACAACATCCACGGCTTCCTCATGAGGCAGCAGCTTGACTACGGGATATTCCTCATCGATTTGGTAAGAAAGAATTACCTTACAAGTGAATGGAAGTAATTTGTTTATATATGTTTTTTTTCAGATTTTCTCACATTAGATAATTACTCTTTCAAACAAAATTTGTAGACTGACTTTCATAGAATCTTTAAAAGGGTAATTTGCTTATACTAGTATCAAATAATTCTCGATAAAATATTTAAATTGATCAGGGTTGCTACCCTTTTATCATGCGGCAGATTTTCTTGTTAGAAATCGGATTTTTTAATTTTTTAAATTGTCTCTCAGTGATCGTCTTTTAATATTTACAGGTTTAACATAACTTCAGATGTAAATCTTTTAAATAAAATATTAAAACTTTGAACTTGCAATTACAAAAAACACTAGTCGTGTAAAATCAGAATCTGATGTGTCAATCTTTATAAAAGTCGTTTGAAGAAATTCAAGGTCATATGAATTAAAAGTAAACACGAAACTCTTCTCTAAAAATAAATGTAGTATAAACCTTCATTACTTTTTCAGGAGGAGACAATCCCGTTCAACAGAGCCCTGCTGTTAAACGTTGGTTTCCTGGAGGCGAACAAAGTCCATGATTATCAGTGTTACGTGTTCCACGACGTCGACCTCATACCGGAGAATGACCACAACATGTACTCGTGTCCAGAACAACCCAGACACATGTCTGTCGCCATAGATAAAATGAATTATAGGTCAGTAGGTCATACTCGTGTCCAGAGCAACCCAGACACATGTCTGTAGCCATAGATAAAATGAATTATAGGTCAGTAGGTCATACTCGTGTCCAGAACAACCAAGGCACATGTCTGTAGCCATAGATAAAATGAATTGTAGGTCAAACTCGTGTCCAGAACAACCCCGACACAGTTCTGTAGCCATAGATAAAATGAATTATAGGTCAGTAGGTCAAACTCGTGTCCAGAACCCAGACACATGTCTGTAGCCATTGATAAAATGATTTATAGGTCAGTAGGTCGTACTCGTGTCCAGAACAACCAAGACACATGTCTGTAGCCATAGATAAAATGATTTATAGGTCAGTAGGTCACACTCCTGTTCTATTATAGGTCAGTAGGTCGTACTCGTGTCCAGAATAACCCAGACACATGTCTGTAGCCATTGATAAAATGAATTATAGGCCAGTAGGTCATACTCGTGTCCAGAACAACCAAGGCACATGTCTGTAGCCGTAGATAAAATGAATTATAGGTCAGTAGGTCATACTTGTGTCCAGAAGAATCCAGACACATATTTATGGCCATAGATAAAATGAATTATAGGTCAGTAGGTCATACTCGTGTCCAGAGTAACCCTGACACATGTCTGTAGCCATAGATAATTTGAATTATAGGTCAGTAGGTCATACTCGTGTTCAGAACAACCCAGACACATGTCTGTAGCCATAGATAAAATGAATTATAGGTCAGTAGGTCACACTCCTGTTCTATTATAGGTCAGTAGGTCATACTCGTGTCCAGAACAACCCAGACACATGTCTGTAGCCATGGTAGCCATAGATAAAATGTATTATAGGTCAATAGGTCATACTCGTGTCCAGAACAACCCAGACACATGTCTGTAGCCATAGATAAAATGAATTGTAGGTCAGTAGGTCATACTCTTGTCCAGAGCAACCCAGACACATGTCTGTAGCCATGGTAGCCATAGATAAAATGAATTATAGGTCAATAGGTCATACTCGTGTCCAGAACAACCCAGACACATGTCTGTAGCCATAGATAAAATGAATTATAGGTCAGTAGGTCATACTCGTGTCCAGAGCAACCAAGACACACGTCTGTAGCCATAGATAAAATGAATTGAATTGTAGGTCAGTAGGTCATACTCGTGCCCAGAGCAACCCCGTCACATGTCTGTAGCCCTAGATAAAATGGATTATAGGTCAGTAGAACATAATCGTGTCCAGAACAACCATGACACATGTCTGTCACCATAGATAAAATGAATTATAGGTCAGTAGGTCATACTCGTGTCCAGAACAACCCAGACACATGTCTGTCCCCATGGATAAAATGAATTATAGGTCAGTAGGTTTCGTGTCCATTTTGTCTGTCAATAGTTAAAATGAATTATTGGTTTGTAGGTCATACTCGTGTCCAGAACAACCCCAACACATGTCTGTCGCCATTGATAAAGTGAATTATTGGTTTGTAGGTTGCACTTGTGGTCACAGCAACCCAACTGGCGCATGTGTATTGACATAGATAAAATAAATTACAAGTGAATACTTTTTAGTTTGGGTATTTCTCATATCCAATTCACATCAACTTTTAAAAATTTGAACTCGTTGACATTTGTTCTCCTGAAAAGTTCCAGAGAAGCGAAACATCTATATAATCGACGAGTCATTTTTTTTTTCCTATTTTAAATTGTAAATATAACTTCAGTCATTTGTAATATTTGTGACCTTGACCCGGATGTTCCGTTTTCAGACTTCCGTACACACAGATATTTGGGGGCGTGTCCGCCATGACGAGGGAACAGATGCTGGCTGTGAACGGTTACTCTAACAGGTTCTTTGGTTGGGGAGGAGAAGATGATGACATGTACAACAGGTGAGGTCAAAGGTCATATGGTGTGGATCCAGGATTTTAATGCAGTAGATTTTTTTTCTGCAAATTGTTGTTTTGTTTAGTTTTTGTTAACATTGTGGACGAAAATGCAATGATGGTTTAAGAGTCGTCTCGTTATTTTATCCCTTGCTTAATTAATATCAGTTTCTTTTATTTTTAAATCGTCTTTTTTTATTAGTTTATTCTCATCCCAATCTTCCTGTTATTATACTTGAACAGGTTAAAATATCACAACCTGACGATTAGCCGGTATACTGGAGACGTGGCCCGATACAAGATGCTCTCACACCGGCGAGACGATGGGAACCCCCAGAGGTACGTTAATAACGTCAAACATCTGATTCAAGTTAACGAATTATATTTATATACTGAATGGTTTACCGTATTTTTTTTTAATGTGAAATACTTAATTGTAAACTAGTCGCCGGAAGAAATTATAAATGATATATGATTTTTTAACATATCTTCGGCCTTTTCTTTAGCTTAAAATCAAATCAGTACTGAGTACATCTTAAAACAAATATTAAATCTGATCATTACCTTTCTACAGATTCGCTTTGATTAAATCTGAAAAGAAACACAACCACCAGGACGGACTAAGTACCCTCAAGTACAACGTCACAAAGAGGGTGACGAAACGCCTCTACACCTACATCCGGGTCTCCGTAGATCAGAAACAACTCGCTCTTGGTCACGGCTGACAGTAGTTAAAAGCAACTAAAAACTGTGCAGCAAAAAGTCACGGCAATACCAATAAAGCAATGAAATTCCACGGGATTGTGTGCCAGAAGGACCGGGCTCGTGTTCCTATAGTTACCAGTGAGGGTGAAATGCCCAGAAACTTGAGGGACTCGAGGATATGACGTCATAATGCAAAGAGAGAATTGAACTATACTATATTTATTTTTTTTTCACTTTGACATAACTAGAAAAGTGTATCATTTGTGCCAAATTTTGCGCGTTATTCTAATTAACATTCCATGAACTGCGACAAACAATAAACACGGTGTCAATGCTTTCTTATTTTTTGCTCTCTGATGGAGAAATATTAACATGATAACCATGACGAGTATTGTAATGAGGAACACTTTAGTAGCGTTTCAGGAACTAATTAAATCTAGAACATATTATGTTTGAGGACAGTTTTGTTCACTGTTGACAAGAAAGCTCAATAGATAGTTTGAAGTAGACCCAAATTAACAAGAGTTATTTCCCGTTGACTGCCATATTGGAGGTCAACATGATCATATTCTTTTCTTGATTCAACCAACATTAATATTTTAATACTGGCAATTGTACGGTGGTAAGCATTGTTTTTCCTAAAAATATACATTTGTTAGAGCCTCTTTTACTTCAATTTTTTTATTCCATCAAGATTTCCCCTCAAATATTTCTGCTACACCCTCTTATATTTGGTAGGACAAAGAGGGAAAATTACCAGGTTGACCACCAAGATGGCTGCCAACGGGAAATAACTTGTTTATTTGGGTCTACGAAAACTATCAATACAGCGCGTGTCTAGAGTTCTAGGAGCCTCAGACGGATTCGAACCGCGGTCTAGACTGACTGGCCCACCGAATATCCTATAACACAATAAAGTAATTGCTGGGCCACAACCACATTTTTCCCTAAAATGACAGACGTAGAACCAGAATGGGTTGTTTTCTTAAGGGAACAAAACTGTTTTGAATCCCGGGGGAGGGGGTTGGGGGTTGGGATGGAATTCAGTCTTGCTTCCAAATCCTTTCTGTTTATTGATGAAATCTATGCATGTATATAATCCATAATAGTTTCAATGTATTTATTTTATATGTAAACAAGCAAAGAGAAAAAGTGTGTACATTTTGCTAATTAGCATAGCAGCCATTTTGTATTTTAAAAATGGCAGATTTCTGAACAATGTGTTCTATTGTAATTTTTTTGCATTTACAAGGTGGTAGTAAAAACTAAAATTACAAATATTATTATCACCTGGTAAATTTAAAAATTACAATATGACAAAATATTTAATTTGTATATATCATGTGAGCATTATGAAAAAAGTGTACAGAATTTCGGCAAATGTCGACTGTACAAGTCAAACGGTTTATGTTATGGAATATTTTCTACCAGCCAAACAGTCAACTTCAGTGACCTTAGAGTCCTTAATCACCACCAATGTGTGACCATGTGAATTAAGACTGACCTATTTTCGGACAATGGCAGACAAAGATAGCACTAGCGGAAGTCTGGTTAACGTTAACTTTACAATTCTGTGCAGCCACCTTCTTTTATTGTGGCACGTAATTTTAATTTTGCGCAATGGTTGCTGATCATTTCTTTAAAAGAAAAAGTAAAAACACACATAAATCAAAACAAACCTCGTCAGGTTGTTAATACGGCCCACCCTCTATTACCGATTTCAATTTCACTATCTTCCAATGCTGGTGAAATGTAAACATCGGGATCGGTCTTCCGTTATCGTGATCCGCGGTCTCGTGAGTTATCGCGTGTTTATGTTTTGAATTGCGGGATAAAAAGGGCGACATTAAATTGTTTGACGATGTCAACATCTTTTCGTCAAAACAAACAGGGAATACGGAAAGATTATAGAACACTTCTGATTGTCGATCCACTGATGTTGACACGAGACATAACGGACTCGGAAATCTAACTGTATGAAGACAGTGAGACCTTGTAAAACTCCGCCATGATTTTTAGACTTTTCTTGTTACTTATGATCTTTTCTATGATTTCAGGTAAGTGTGTTCTTTAAATCTGGTTATATAATGGAGATCAGGACAATTTCTCGCTCTTTTATCAAAATAAGGGTTATGGGACGACGTCTTTCTACATTATATTATATGAACAAAATGTTAAAAGATGTAATTGTATACATGTAAATATATTTGATTCAATGAAATAATGCTACTTTTAACAAGATTCTTATCTACCATGCAGATTATATAATGCCAGAAATTTGAAAACCCTGTCGTTGGGATAAAACTTTCTATACCTTAGCGACTACTATTCAATATTTAAAACTCACGATGAAGCAAGAATAATCAGCAGTCTCGTTTAAAATCATTTCGTAAGTTCTATGATCGATACAATGACCGCATCAGCAATTACAATTTTATCATTAAATCAAATGCTGACTTTTTTCATACTGATTGTAAGGCCATTAATTTAATAACACAATGAACTGTTCAAAGATTTTTCCCCGAACATGAGAAGTAGCACATGGTGGATGCGATCGGTCGGCAGGGGATGCTAACTCCTTCATGGCACCTGATCACACCTCTGTTTTTGGAGGTCCGCGTTTGCTCCGTTCCTATTTTGAAATGTTTTAATTGATTTTTGAGCTCGAACTGATTGTTCTCCACATCTCCACACATCTCATGTATGAAATTTCTTTTAGAAATTAGACATATAAGTCTGCATTTCCCTCGAGCTTTTATTTTTGAATAAAATTTGATAAAACTCTGCCATTTTTGAATTTATACTTTAATGCGGTATTTAGTAGAGAGGGGTCAAGCTGCTGTGAACGGACACACAGTGTTGAAGCACTTGGTCAAGAGATGGGACCAGGAAATGTTCGGCTGCCACTGCGCCTTCACGGTCCACTGCACGAGTGACGACAATTGTCATCAGCACGGCCACCATTACCGCTGTATAGCCGACTGTTGCGGAATGAAATGTCACCCGACCGCCGGAAGTTATCATATTCACCATGGGTAAGGTACGTTCTTTATTATCACATAGACATCTTTCCCCGTATAAAGATGCTGGTAAAGAGTTCTGTCCGTCCCTCTGTTTGTCTGCAATTCTGTAACCTTACCCATAACTTTTGATTGGTTGAAGCTTTGGCTTTAAGATTTCATATGTTAAAATTTGGATATGAATTTATTTGATCTCTTGACCTTGACCCTGTAATAGTTTGACCCGCTTCTACAAAAAAAAAATAATCAAATTTTATCTCTGGCCTTACTGTTGTACAGTTGGTGCTCGGGTTTTTCACATGTTTATTTTGTTTTCTTTCAATGAAACGAATCCTTTTCTTGAATTGAGTATATATTTTTGACCTTGACATTAGAGTTTGTCCCACATACAAAAATTAAACCTTGGCTATACCTTTTTAACAGTAAGTGCGGGGTCATTCATTTTCACGAGATTTATTCATCTTTTGGATACCGACAATTTTGACACCGACCTTGTAGTTTTAAATACTTTGGAAAAAAATAACCCTAATCCTAACTTCTGAAGAATTTTGTGCTAAGATTTTCATTTTTTACAAATTACTTCCTTTTGACTAGACCTTTGTTTGAATATAACAATTTTGACGGAGTATTACATATTGTAAAAAAAAAGTAAACCTTGGTCATAACTATAGAAGAGTTAGTGCTAAGGCTTTTATATTTCATATCTGTATTTCTTGTGTCAAGTCTTTTCCCTCCGTTTAATTGATTTTTGACACTTTGACCTTGACCTTCAAGTTTGTTCAACTTTAAAAAAAAATCCATGGCCATATCTTTTGAATGTTTGGTTTTTTGGCGTCCAAATTTCACTGTTGCAAGTCCTTTCTTTGAAAAACTAACATTTTTCTGAATTCATCTCCCTCCCTTGGTTTTTAACTTGCTGAGTCGCCATATCAGGGCATTAGTGTTTCACAAGGACATTAAAACTCGTATTTTTTTTTTCTTTGCAGCGAAGAAAAAGACGAAGATGTGCATTAAGAAGTATATAGACCAACAAGTATTTTGTTGATTAGAGATTTGCATATCTTACATTCTCAAACATGTAATCTATATATTTAATAAAGAATGATTTTATATTAATAATTTGTGGCTTTGTAAGCAATCTATTGGAGAAATAATTATCAGGTTTGCTGATTGGTTCCCGACAGATCATGCAAGGATCGCAACTTGATATAAAAAACAATGAAGGCGTGATACAGACGAAGAGACAATTAACATCAATGTAAACGTCCAAAATATTAACAAAAGGGATATTTGTATGTTTGTTTGTTTAACGTCCCTTATATAAAGAGATCTCACCACTTGCCGATAGAGGGTAGCAAACTTAAGACGTAAACTCTGTACTCTGGGTAATTGAGTAATAAGGATCCCAGAACCTAAGTATTGCAACTTCCAAAGACGGGTCTCCACGTACTTCAGTGGGATTTGCACAACTCCTTAATTACTTCTCGACATTAAAGCAAGCACTCTGTACTAGCCACTACGCCAGCTGACTAAAGGGAATTAAAAATAGCTTCTTATACCGGTCAGAATTTTTTCCGGAGACATTTTCACAAATTACTGTATTTCAGAAAAATTGAAATGAAAGCATTTATTACTTTTTCACTATCACTAACACATTGAATGATATCATAATTGTGTACAATTTTACCAAACAATGCATAATTATATAATTGTAATACAGAAAACGGTCAACGCATTATTTCGGGGCGGGGGTCTGTTTCCAGACCAGTTGTTTACTTTTGCTCAATGAAAATTATTATAGTGATAAGAGATTCTTCACTTAAAGGAGCGTCATCACAATTAGATGCATGTAAATCAGAGTTAGATGTGTTCACCGTATTGCAACACCAGTAACTCCAGCCCTGTAACTGTTTAAGCATCTGAGCAAGAAAACAAGATACCATTTTCACAAATATGTGCTTTATACATGATTCCGTTAATATTATGAGTCTGAGCTTTCATCCCAGGCACACAAGGAACAGTTGAGGGTACTGGAAGTCTCAAGCTTTTGCGCAGGCGCCAAACCTCCTTTGAATGTCGGCGATTGTTCTCGTGGACTTGAATAAAGATTAGGACTACTGTAGTATTTTCGTTGTCTGTTGTGAAAAGAATAGTTATTTTTCTTGTTGTGTATATCTGGAAGTTTAGAGGATTGTCGTTTAAACTGATCATAGAAGTCATTGCCAACCACGGGGCTTATATTAAGCCGTAGAGACGTGCTATCTCGCGAGATGTTATTTGGCGGATGTGCTGGTGAGGAGGAAGTAATGAACACTGAACCCGACTCACGAGGAGTATCTCCTGGTGACGTCACATGCTGATTGGCGTCAACACGGCTACTGCTGCGCGTGACGTCCTCCTCTGAGTTGTGATGGCGGTAGGGTTTAGACACGACCTCTAGCGATGGGGTGACAGTGTCTTGTGTAGTGAGCGAGAAGACCGAGGACCGAGACGTAGCAGAGTTGAGTCGTTTGGAGCTGTTGCTTTCCCATCCCTCTACAATAGCCTTTTCCCCGGGGGTAGAGAAACTGCGGGTCAGCATCGTATGTTGTCGCTTTAACTCGCTCTGTCTTCTATACTTTGTAAAGATTTCCTCCACGGGTTGAGCGCAGAGTCCTTTTAGCCACGACGTATTAGATTGTCGTGCAATACGTTTTTGGAAAGTCTTGTCGACATAATAATAGTCCATATTTTTCCGACGTGGAACAACTTTCTTTCCAGCTGGCATCCCTTTGTAGACATTTTGTTTGGGTGAACTCTTCACCTGACTGAAATCGAGAGACACGAATGTCACACTTTCGGGTATCTTCTGCGGTGTAGGTCTCTTTCCATGCAGAGGAGTTGACACGGGGCACCTGTAATAGCTTCCAGGCTCAGGAGATGCACGGAAAATGTCGTCCATCGCCGGCTGGTCAAAGCGGTAGCCGGTGACGATCGCTTGTCCAGTCTTCACAACCATCTGTAACAATAAAAATAAAATTTAGTCTGTGTGTTGTAAAGCCTAATATATGTACGCCCTCTGGTGAGCGATTGGCTTCATACCTTCACTTTTAGCAGTGGTTAGAGCGTCTGCTCTAGAGTCGCGAAGTAAGGAGTCAATCCTTACGTCGCGGGTTCGAATCCCACTGCGGGACGTGGATGAGACCGTATAAACCGAGGCCACGTGTCGCAGTAGGTGCTGGCACGAAAAAGATCCCTCACTGCTCAAAGGCCCTGAGTGCCGAGCATAGGACAAAATTTGTAGCCCTCCACCGGCAAGTGGTGGCGTCTCCATATGAGTGAAAAATTCTCGAGAGGGACGCTAAACAATATACAATCAATCAATCAATCACTTTTACTGGGTTTTGTATTAACTCTGCGAATTCCATAATCCCCCTCTAGATCAGCGTATGTATTGTATCGTATACTTTATATAATTAATGCCTAATTACTTAATCAAATATCACTTTGACAGTACTCGTCGAATATAATGTTCCAGTGTACAATATGTCACAGACAATACTTTATATATTAATGTCCAAATTATATTTAAAATATTTCAATGTACTTAATCTTATATTTGTATCAAATTATTTATCAGTCTACTAACTTTTACATGTTTTAGTAACAAAATTTTATCGAGTTCCTCATTCATTTATTTTTCTAAGTAATGTTTCAATATCAAAGTATCTCTAGATTATCTGATATCTGTGCATATTTCATTCCATACTGACATCCTAGACTTGTCTAGGTATCTTAGTTAATACACAAAATGTTAACTGATTCAGAAATCCTTATCTACAACCCAGATACATTTAAGAATTCTCCCACACTTCCACATACACAATCAAAATGATGTCTATACCTGCGAGTTGTCCAGAGGGATATCTCGTCTCCCAAAATACTCCATAGGTGTTAATCTAATCACAGATAATTAAGTTCCGATCGCTACCTGTATAAATTAAGATCTACCTGTCACGGAATTAGAGCACAGACAATGGGTATGATGAAGAATAAGACTGCCCTATACATGTCCAGCATTAATGATCCTCTGCGAGAGAATGTCGATTTTGTTCAAATTTATTTCTTCCCAGGATTTTAAAATAGACGAGCTTTCACAAAAAATAACGAGGCATCTTTCCGTTAATCTCGGGTACAAAATCAATGTCCCCCCATTGTCGGAATGACTGGAGCTAAGGAATCAATGCCTCGCAGATTGCTAGGGATCGCATATATGTCACCGAGGAAAACAAAAGAATATTTGATCGGGGAAGATACATTGAATGCGGCGCCCGGCAATTTAATAATTGCTTTTTTACTCCGACAACGATTGAATATATTTTTAAATTTACCACACTGGAGGAAGCCTGGCCGTATCTTACATAGGGGCCCTAAAACTGGGTTTAAATTTTGTTCGTGATAATGACTTAACACATCGTAAATGCTGCTACATAGAATCAAAAACTTCCTAGCGAGGACATCTTTAACAACTTTTGATAGAACCTAAAAATGTACATGTTTATCATGGTATATATAGCGCCTAGTCATATCTATTTCCAAGTTTAAAGGACAATTTCAAAGATGGACACTGACTCAAATATTTATAATCAAGGATTTCATTTCTTTTTCAATCACACTTCAACGATGCAGTTTAAGGTGGCAGGGGCACTATTTTGAAGATTATAGACTGCAAAATTTTCAAAAAAAAATTCTAAATGCTTCGAGAGCATTTCGGCAGACCATTATAATATAAAAAGCTTGGTTAGAAAATTCTTTTGTTTAATAAAAAAAAAAAGTTAAGAGACACGTTATACGCAACTAAGTCGGTATATATAGTGCTAGCTCCGTAATCGAAAGGTCGCGTGTGTTCGAATCACGGCCGCGACTCACCTAAGTCGATAAAAAGCAGGAAACAACTGTTCCTTTACCAAAAAATGTGTCTTTCGCGGATGAGACCTTAAAAATCGAGGCCCCTTGTCACGGTAGTTGATGCTTATTTTTTATCGACTTTGGTCAGAGGCGGCAGAGGTTCGAACCCTCGACCGTTCGAATACGGAGCGAGCGCTTGTGAAAAGGTAATGAAAATATCATTGTGATTGAAAATTAAACTCTTTGTTCCAATCAATAAATTGATGTTATTTTTACAATAAATATAGAATTTTAAATTTTGTAAACATAGCAATACAGCAAATGCGTCTATGTCCCTTTAAAGTAACTAACCATAAAATATTGGAAAGAGGAGTCGGTTGGTTAGGGGTTTATACTTTATTTTATTCTTTACTCAACATTTTCTTTTCATAAACTCTTTAATGTAATACACATTAACTTCAGGAAAAAAATTAACCCTTTTAAACTTGGAATTAACAAATCTCAAAGAGGGACATTAGTAAATTGATACGGAATTGAGTTCGTACTAAGTCTGACTAGTTTCTTGTAATTATCTAACCTTGAAGGAAGTATAAATATTTGAATTCTGATATAATTTATAGCTTTTTACAGGGTCGCATGTTACAAAATGGCTCGCAGCTTTTTGAAATCTCCGTACTGATAAAGAATTAATCACCTGAAAATTCTAATGCAGCGAAACTTGATCTGAAATTCGATCTCCTAAACACTGTGCTTTCTATTGTATGTTGAAATAATTTCTAGTTGTCATTTTTTCTGTGTATAAATGCTAGATTAGGAATATAATATAAAATGTGTTGAAAATTGTCATCAATCGTACATGTATGGTTAACAATATCAACCCTGAACTGAACATCACACATACACGTATCCCCTGAAAATATCACGGGTGGATCAAGCTTATAGTTTTAATTCCTTTAAAATATCAAAGATTGATGATACAGAGATTGGATGAAAAATTTAATAGAGAGAGTTAATTAATCTGTTTTGAATTTTATATAATTTATCTGTAATATATCAAAGATTTTATACACAGATAATACATATAGAGATTTTATGAAAAATTTAATAGAGAGACTTAATTTATATGCTACATATACAGTTGATTTTATATATCATCAGTGCACACATCATGCCTTGCCAGTCCGATGCCTTATCGATCCAATTATGTTTTATTCTATATAAACATAATAAAATATTTATTTGAAAACAGTTATATTTATTTTATATATCGATTCATCTGTATAATATTATACAGTGCACACTTATAGAAAGAGGTGGATATATATAGGATTACTTATCCTAGGGGTATAGAAATTGAAATGATGATTTTTTTTTTTTTGAATGAGTTTTTGCAAGTGCGCTGTGTTACCACCATTATTTTCAGGGGATTGCCGCATAAATAATAACAACAGTCAGCATAATAATAACAATAGTGTTGCATATTTTCTAAATAAGGGTTTGACACATATACTCGCCTCCGGCTCGTGCACCATGTGTCATTTTAGGCATAGTACATGCATAATGAATAAATTGTTCTTCACTGAATTTGTTTTTTACACTAAGTTTTAAACCAATACATTATAAAGCTGTATTTCTATTTCGTAAAATGGTAATAAAGAATGTTTATGTATCTAGAGGTGCAAAATGTTGAAATATAAACTTAAAAAATTATTTTATCACTTAACTGTACTATACTTACGAACTTTTTCAACAACCTATCGACCTAAGCGAACAAAAGGATAGATAAACGTCTCAAATAGCTATCAAGCGATCAAATGTCTTAGATTAGATAAGTAATTAAAGTTAAAGCCCTGCTTTAGTGATTTTAGTGCGATAATTTGTAATTTTTTGGTCGCACAGAATAATTTCTAACCGACTTTTTGTTTTGCCTTGTCACGTAGAATTAACAAAATGTAATGGACTGGTTTAATTTATTTAAAAGTCAAATCAAGGATTTGAAAACTATTGCATACATAGATGCAGGCGGGTTGTTTCTTGTCCATGAATTAATGAGTTCTAGTACATGTACGATATATAAATTGGAAATCCAACAGGGCTATTTGAATTTTCACTATAAAATATTCTGTGGCGCATTTTTTCAAAGGTTGATGAAGTCTTTACAAGCAAACTCACATCAAATTAAAACCCCCTCTCTCTCTCTCTCTCTCTCTCCAGTTTGGTGTCACTATTGACGCTTACTTCACACGCTGTGTTAAAACTCTAATCCTATTAATCCCTTAAATCCTCTTAGAAATGAGGTTTATTTTTTGTTTAATTATTCTTTCCAATTAACCCATGCTGGTCGACTCCTTAATCCACTGTGTGAGTGCCAAAACTCTAAAGGTGATGTGCCATATTGGGTACGACTTTTTCTACCTTCCAGCACAGGAGCAGAAGTAAATTGAATGCTATGGAAACATTTGAGTTTTGCCGAACGCAAATTTTGAAGACCCAAGAATTTTACGGTTTTCTTCTAGGTTTTTTTTCCTTATGTGTTATATGATACACAGTCTTTTTAAAAATCGTTTATATTGCTCTGAGTCACATTTCACATTGTTCATGCACGATCAATTCAATTTAATAATTCATTTTTTTTTTATTTTATAGATTAAAATATCATTTTAATGTATTCCTACCTTCATGTAATTCACACCACGTTGTAATATACTGTACTAGTATACTTACCACAAAGAAGACTTGTGGGAACAATACAGAACAAAATATCTCATTATTTTTCGTAAAATCCCAACTTTATAATTTCTCTTCGTTGTTAAATCGTTACTTTTAGGTCAGCGCCATAAAAAAAAGTCACATTCGCAACTCTATCTAACCGTATGTCAACTAGCGATTGCAATTCGTTTTTGTGTTATTATTTCTTTAGCTGATATTATTGTATAGCACAGATGAAAAGAGTCTACAGAGATATTTATTTTAAGGTTTAAATTAACACCGGTCTTTTAATAACACATCTATAAGCCGACTCTAATCGATAGATCTCACAATCCGACAGATGGGGTCAACTAGGGTCATTTAACAATAGTTACAGAGGGGACACAACTCATACAAAAGAATAAAAAAAGACTTCTACTTAAAACAGATTTTCTTTCATTTTTTTTTTGGGGGGGGGGGGGGGTAATTTGTAATTGTTGATGTTTTTCATGTTTTTAACGAAAAAAGGTTTTTGAAATGCGCGAACTTAATAAATATGAAAATTCATGCATGTATACTATATAAAATAATTGTTTTTTTCAGAGAGAGAGAGAGAGAGAGAGAGAGAGAGAGACAGAGAGAGAGAGAGAGAGATGCAGCAATATATTCCAGACCCATTACTTATTCCTATACAAATCGTAATGCATGGCAGTGAGACGAAAACAGATCTTTATAAAGAGAACTGGATTAATCTCTGTATGCGATTATTTAAGCAAGAATTTTAATTACTCTTAAAAGCTTGGTTTCATAGGTTTTCTTAACTTGTGTATTGGAAAGCATCCATATACATGAAAGAATGATATTCATTTTTAAATGAAAAAAGAAAGCCCATAAAAAATAAAATAAAATAAAATAAAATGAAATAAAACAAACAAACAAAATTCAAAAAAAAACAAACACATATGTCAGATCACTTTAGCATACATTTGCTTATACAGGTTATTTTTAAATATTATTTTTTTTTTCAAAATAGGGCTGATAATTATGTTCACGTACATGTATATACACGGTCATGTGCATTAAAAAATCTGTCTTATTGATCGACCATATGTACATGTATTAAGTCGTCTCAGTGACAAAGTTCTAACTAAATTCTCTCTCTCTCTCTCTCTCTCTCTCTCTCTCTCTCTCTCTCTCTCTCTCTCTCTCTCATGAATAAATTACCTTAATTTCTTCAGAATTCTACAAAATCGTTTCCATTTTTAAGATGCATTATTTGCCACATAAATCTACATATTCTCAGCAGAGCTTACACAAACACTCACGGGTATATTATTATATTTAATCTAAAGGATTAAAATCTTTATAAGGAACGTTACAAACCCAGACTGTTAAGTTACACAAACAGATGGGATTTTCTCGTCTACCGTTTGGCTGAATTAAAATCCAGGATTTAAAATCCTTCAAGCTCAAA